CACATTTTACACTGTAACCTAGGACACCACAGTATTGGTCTCCATGCCGGTGCTCAGCATCGGTCTACATGCATGGTACGTCGTCGCTCAAACTGACCCCAGTTCAATATCACCTCTGGGAGAATAAAACCTCCATCTCTTCTTATCTTTCAGGATCTTTTTCTTTTCAGCAAATTATGGACTATATGCAAGTGTGAAGATGGCATGTTCGTGCCTCATCATATAGAAAATAATTAGAAACAAAGGACCAGCAAATGAAAGCACAATTTAGTAGGCTAGTGGTTATGGCCGTAAGAAGAAATTTCTAGTTTTTCCCCAAGATGGCACTGTCTAGAGGTGAAACGTGGACTGACATCTTACAAGAGGAGGGGTGAAACTGAGAAGTATAGTTGAGTGGTAGTCTCAAGTTAGTGCCTCTGCTAGATCTGTTTTGAAAATGAAAAAAAAAAAAAATTCCAGTAGTCGGTACTTGAATGGTACATACTTTTCCAGGGAGACTCTGAGCTGTGATTCCAGAGTGGCAAGATGCCCTATAGCACCAAATGAGGTGCCCCAGAAAGGTACAAGACTTCTCTTGCATCTATCTTCGCAGTGTGTCTTACTGGCTCATCCACAGGGCTTCCCGCTGAGAGTGAGAGTTGCTTTGGAAACTGCTCTGAAGTGCCTTGCCTAGACATTCACCATTGGGTCTGACTTTCATTTCAGGTCCAAGTGCCTGAACGTAGGTGTTCTGGATTTTGGTACTAAGTCCCTCTCTGGACTGAATCCTTGGTGCACTGCCCAGCAAACAAAAAGTTGTTTAAAAATTACAGTTCTTTGTGCCAACTGCGATCAGAAAAAGTAAATGTCAGGCCGAAGAGTTATTACAGTGTGTTTGTGAGAAAATTACTTCTCTGTCCTTTGAAAGGTACAGTTAAGTAAGAGGAATTCTCATTATCCATATGTAATGCTAGAAAAAATAACTGTATAAATAACCTTCACTCTGAAATGAAAGCACTAGGGAAACTGAGAATTTCAAACTGTATCAATGAGTCGTCTGGTTTTGCCTGCTGTGGGCAACGCATTTTCCACTGGGTGTGGAATTACCCTTTCTTATTTGGCTGCCTGATGGAGAGCTACACTTTCCACTACCTAGATGACAGCAGAGATGTTGGGACTGGTAACTCTGGTTTTTTGCTTCATTGTTATAGTCACCCTTATTGTATTGTTTAAAAATTAGCGGTTCTTGTATTTATTTTTTTTCAAGAACTTTGGTTGGCACAGTCTCACCAGCTAAGGCACTCCGGAGGGTTTGTACAGCTGAGCCATATTAATCTTCCTCATTTGAGTGGCCTTGTTAATCTTTGTGTAGATATTGTTAATTTAAATTATTTTTACATAAGTCAGGGAATAAAACTTATCTGATCTTCTGATTCCACTAGGCATATATCCCACCTTTTATGACTAATGTCTATGACCTGAGTCAGATATGTCTACCTGTACTGAAATTTGACTCTTTCAACAAATAAATTAACAATGATGAAAAGTAATTTGAAGATTTCTCCTGAAATACGATTGCTCCTAGATTTGCTCTTCAAATCTTTTTCTCTTCTGTTTTTTTTGTTTGTGTTTGTTTTTGTTTTTTTTAAATATATATGTTTTTTTCTGTTGTGGGAGGGCTACAAAACAAAGGTAGTCTGTAATTTTTAACCAAATATATTTTAGTCTAAAGTCTTTTCTTTCTTTTCCCCAACACTGAAACTGTGTACAGGTAATGTTCTTTTCTTTTGAGACTGGGTGTTGAGAATGTCTCTGGCTTTCCATTTCACCAGGAGATTTCTTAGTGTTTTCCTGTGCTTATGTGCCTGTCTTAGGAATTTTTTTGGCATTTTCTGAACTTAGTTCTCTAATGCCCTTCAATTTCTGGGTTTCCTCCAAGGCCTTCAGGAGCCAATGGTATCTTTCATTCACCTAGAAGTAATGTATTTTTCTGCAAAACCTGTTTGTTTATGCTTTTTTTTTGCATTTGTTAACATTTTACATATTTCTTCTCATTCACATGTAATACCAGTCTTGTGAAATTTTAATGTTCCAGTAAATAAGCTTTACAGAATCAGTTCAGTTAAAACTAAACTCACTGGGAGTCCTTTCATTAACTTGAGGAGATTTTCTCCCCTTGTAGTAGGAAGAATAAGAGACTATTGCAAGCGTAATAGATCTTTGAATGGCAGTGTTCCTAGATGACAGTACCACATCTTAAAACCTGAGGTACAGAAAAATAAAACACATATTATAGTAGTTCTTTTTCATTGGTTACCAAGTGCCTTAACACCAGTTATCATCTCTCAAAAACACAATACTTACCTGTTAGTTTATATGAAGGTGAAATGATTTAATCCTCTAGTATAATAAAATAGATAATAATAATGGCATCACTTGTAGCAGTAGTACACTAAAAATAAATTAATAGGGTAGAATGGTCACCTTTTGAATTGTTTTATTGAAAATCAGTAGCACTTTGTAAGTTGGTTGATTTTTATAGTCTTAAGAAGTTTAGCAGCTTACTGCTATACAAAATGTATTTTTAGCTGTTGTCTTCTGCCAAAAATAGAGTGATTCTCAGAAAAGAAACTAACAATCCACCTCAATGGGAATTTGGTTCATGTAACTCAGAAGTGCACTTGGCCTGTGAAAAAATCATCATTTCCATATCGCCCCATAGAACATGGAAATATGGAAAAAACAGACGTTAATTAAAAGTCTTGAGTAGTGAAATGACTACAGACATGTGTGGGGAAAATACATTTCTTCATTGATATTAGTGGGTTTTGGACCAAGTCACTTCTTTCTACATCAGAGTCAATATGATTTTTACTGAGATAACAAGGCAGAGTTTGTTTCAAATTGGAATATGATATCATGTGTTTAAACTTTATTATTTAGACTAATGAAAATTTGGAATCGGTGTTACAATGTCAAAAACTTATCAGTGTTCACGTACACACATGCCTGACCACATTAGTTGCAAACATACAATTGCCTTTGAAGTCAGCAATTGGTGGTTACAGCCCAGATCTTCATGACTTTTCTCACTTATTTCCCAAATGCTGGTCCAAAGCAATTCCTGAGCAAACAGCTAAGAAATTACACTAAATGGCAATATGGATTGTGCCAGAGAAGTGATGGGAGAAAATTACGTATGTAAATGCTTGAAGAATTGGAAAGTTGGAAAGAACACAGGCAAATTTTGAGTGTGTAAGTGTCATATTTTAATGCCATTGAAAGGAAATAAAATCAAACAGTCCCTTCCCCCAATTTTCCCTCTTACATAAAAGAAGCAGAAACCTCAATGTGCTAAATGAAAGCTCCTTAGTCTGTGGTGGTTACTGAGCTTAGTGTTGGTCATAACGCACAGTTAGAGCAGACTACCAGCCAGCCACCACTTGTACTAACTATGCAGCTTATGTGCAAGAAAAACTCTGTCCAGAGATAAAATGTGGATTTTTCTTGATTTGGTTTGGGTTTGACTTCTTCATCGTTTTAACAGCTCTTGGATGTGCTGAATTAAATTTGAGGCTTGTC